ATTGGTAAGTTACCAGCAGAATAGCTATTTATGAGGAAGAGGTACAGAGAATTCCACATTTAATTCATTTCTTGTTTTAGTGCCTTTCTGCTTAACTGGAAACTTACTCCCACCTTCCCCATCTCCCACTTTGTAGAGAAGACTGAAATTTTGTGGCTTACCCTTCAGTTTTGTTCCTTGCCAACCCAAAATGGTGCAACAATTTCAATCTGGCACTAATCAATGAAGCAGCGTAAGTTGAAGTGGGTCAAGCAGGCCCCTGGATGCAATTGTACAGAATGATCACTTCCTACCACTAACCCAAACCTCGAGTCCTGTGGCTTGTCCCTTGCTTGTTTCTGTTCACTGGATAACCTGGACTGGAACATTCTTTTTTATTTTTTATTTTTTGAGACGGAGTTTCGCTCTTGTTACCCAGGCTGGATTGCAATGGCGTGATCTCGGCTCACCGCAACCTCCACTTCCTGAGTTCAAACAATTCTCCTGCCTCAGCCTCCTGAGTAGCTAGGACTACAGGCATGCGCCACCATGCCCGGCTAATTTTTTTTTGTATTTTTAGTAGAGACGAGGTTTCACCATGTTGACCAGGATGGTGTCGATCTCTTGACCTCGTGATCCACCCGCCTCAGCCTCCCAAAGTGCTGGGATTACAGGCTTAAGCCACCGCGCCCAGCCCTGGACTGGGACATTCTTCCTTGCTGCTCTTGGGGACCTTACCAGTAGATAAGTAGGTGCATGCTTCAGCCAATGCACCATTTTTCAGTATCTTGTCCACACTCAAAGTTTTGTTCATATGAGCCATCATTGCTTTACATCTGTAATGAAGGCATCTTGACAGACACACAAAAAAATTGCTTATGTTAAAGTCTAACCTTACTAGAGTGTTACTGGATGCATTTTAAGAAATATTTAACACATGGTAAATCAGAAACCAGGTAAATATGACCCATATTATAAGAGATCCTAATACATGATATAGTATACATTGCAAAATGTCTCATCGATCTTAAAAAGAAAATGGTCACACCAATTAAAAAAAAAAAAAGATATCCATTCTTTTTCTCCTGTGACTGAATTTAGGTTCCTTCCCTCAGCCTGTAATACACCCAGGGCTTTTCCATCCAAGAAATGCTATAAATTCTCCAGCTACCTTCCTTTCTCTTATGCTCTCGCTTACCAAATTAGTTAAAAAGTTGTCCATATTTCTGATGTCCTATCCTCACCATACATTCACCTTCATTTCATAGTGATCAGCCTGCTGTCTACTGAAACTACGCATTCCGGAGTCACCGGGATCACTCTGGTTTTTCATTTAATGGGCTGCTTCTCAATTTTCTCTCTCTGTGCTCCTGGCAGGAAAGATGTTTTTCCTGAAATATATTTTTTAGGTAGTGGTTAAAGCCTTTTATTTTGAGTCTGGGTTGGGAGATTTGGCTCTACTGCTTTCTAAAATTATGAATTTAGGTAGGTTATTATGAATTTATAAACCTCAATTTTCCTTCTCTAAATAAAAAGTTACTAATTCCTACTTCAAAAGGTTTGTGTGAGGATTCCAGGAGATAAGGCATGGAAAGCATTTAGCGAGATCCCAGCTCCGAGTAAACGTTCCATGAGTGTTAGCTTTTGCAGCCAGCTTCTTTTCGTTTCCCTTCGATTGCCGTGTCTAGGTTCTTCGTCTACCACTCTAACCCTATCACCTTAGTTCTCCTCTCCCTGGGGGCTTCTAAATAAACATTCTATAAAAGCCACTTCCTCTGCTCACTTTTCTCCATGTCCGCATGTTTTGCTTTGATTATGTAATCATTCCCATTGCTAGTATCAATGTATCTATGCTCTTAACTGGCAAATCCACATCTCTATTTTGAGACTCAGACTCCTGCATCCAGTTCTTCACTTACAGAATGTCCGTAGGACTTCACATCAGATACTTCACATCAGAATGTCCATAGGACTCTTCAGATTCCCCACAACAAAATCTGACCTCACCTCAGTTTCTAAACAGCTCCACGCTCCCAGCGTCATCTTCAGAAACCCAGAACACACCCTGAAGCAGCTTTACAGCCCCATCCCCAGTCCCCAAGGGAATCAGCCACCAAGTCTCTTCCCGGCTTCCTCACCTCCAACACCTTTTCCATATCCTTCCTTCCTTTTTTTTTTTGAGATGGAAAGATGGAGTCTTGCTCTCTCACCCAGGCTGGAGTGCAACGGCACAATTTTGACTCACAGCAACCCCCACCTCCCTGATTCAAGCTATTCTCCTGTCTCAATTTCCCTAGTGGCTGGAATTGCAGGCACCCACCATCATGCCCAGCTAATTTTTTTGGAGGAGGGTTTTCACCATGTTTGTCAGGCTGGTCATGAACTCCTGACCACAGGTGATCAGCCTGCTTTGGCCTCCCAAAGTGCTCGGATCACAGGCATGAGCCGCTGCGCCCGGCCCCATATCCCTACATCCTCCATCATTTTCTATTTCAGTATCTCATCATTTCTTGCTTTATCTCTGGTAATAATGTCTAAAGTATTTTTTCTGCTTTCACCTCTGCCTCTCCTTCACATTTTCACATGAACTGCCTTTCGCATTGTAGCTTTCATCATCTTTCTCCTCTGTGCAGTTACTAGGGAAACCTCCCCTAGGCTACAAATAAGGGCCAGATTCCAATATCCAATTACTTGGGATAAACTGAACTTCCCAGCTTCTCATTTAAAAATGTTTTCCCTGCCACTGTCCCTGAGCTTTGACCACCACGGCCTAGTCTCCATGTCCTGAAAAGTTTCCCACCTCCACTTCTTCTGCCCTAATGCATATTCCCCATTCAGGTCTCTTCTCTGAAATGTTCTTTCTCCTGCCTCATCCTGACTCTGTCCTTAGAGATCTTTCATGTCCTACAAAACCCTTCCTCTTCCAAGAAGTGGTCCAGAAAGAAAATAATGTATCCCTTTGTCTGCTCCCTGGGCATCTGGTTTTATCATACCATTACAATGGCTTTACCCTAGTTACCAGCATGCATGTATGCCGGTGCCATTCATTCCTTCAAGTCAGAGACCACATCATTTTGAATTCTTATATTTCTTCAGTGGCATGAATATGTTAAAAATGCAATTGATGCTTATTTTATTGAATTATTGACTGTTTAGAAATTACAAAACCAAAACCACAACACATTAGTGTTGTGAATATAGAATTTTTTTTTTTTTTGAGGGGGGAGGAAGGCAGGAAGGAAGGGAAGAAGGACGGTAGGGAGGAAGGAAGGGATGAAGGAAGGAAGGAAGGGAGGAAGTGGGGAGGGAGGGAGGGAGGGACGGAGAGAAGGGAAGAAAGGAAATCAAGCAATGAAAGAGACATTGCCGACCTGGATCTAGAGGTTTACAAGTTGATTTCTTTTTTTTTTGAGAGAAGGAAAGAAAAAATATAATAAGTAAAGGAGAGGAAGAAAGAGGAAGAGAAAGAGGGAGAGTAAATGGAAATATTGCTTTATTTTTTAAAAAATTGGGTATTAATAATGGCCAATCAATGTTTCATTTAAACTAATGGGTAGGTGTGATGTGGTATTGACAAGAATGTATATTTTGTGTATTTGAAGTGGAGAGCTCTATAAATATTTATTAAGTTTACTTGTTCTGGATCTGAGTTCGAGTCCTTGATATCCTTATTAATTTTCTGTCTCATTGAGTCTAAGTCTCTATGTATCTGGGTGTTAGGATCGTTAGCTCTTGTTGTTGCATTGATCCTTTTACCACTATATCTTTGTTGCTTTAAAATCTATTTTATCCGATACAAGAATTGCAACTCCTGCTTTTTATTTATTTATTATTTATTTTTGCTCTCCATTTGGTTGGTAAATCTTTCTCCATCCCTTTGTTTTGAGTCTTTGTGTATCCTTGCATGTGAAACAGGTCTGGATGTAACATGCCATTGGGTTTTGGCTGTGTCTTTTGATTGGGAATTTAGTCAATTTAAATTTAGGGTTACTGCCATTTGATGTTGACTGGCTGTTTTATCCATTTGTTGGTGTAAATTCTTCTTTATATTGGTGCTCTTTACTTTTTGGTGTATTTTTAGAAAGGCTAATACTGGTTGTTTCTTTCTGTGTGTAATGCTTCTTTCAGAAGCTCTTGTAAAGCAGGCCTGGTGGTAATAAAATCTCTGAGTTCTTGCTTGTTCATAAAAGATTTTATTTTTCCTTCAGTTGTGAAGCTTAGTTTGGCTGGATATGAAATTCTGGGCTGAAGGTTCTGTTCTTTGAGGATGTTGAATATTGGCCCCCACTCTCTTCTGTCTTGTAGAGTTTCTGCCAAGAGATCTGCTGTAAGTCTGATAGGCTTGCCTTTGTGGGTAATCTGACCTTTCTCTCTGGCTGCCCTTAGTATCCTCTCCTTCGTTTCAACCCTGGTGAGTCTAACGATTATGTGCCTTGGGGTTGCTCTTCTTGAGGAATATCTTTGTGGTGTTCTCTGTATTACCTGGGGTTGAATGTTGACCTGCTTTGCTAGTTTAGGAAAATTTTCCTGAATAATATCCTGAAGGGTATTTTCCAGCTTGGATTCATTCTCTCAGTCACATTCAGGTACACCTATCAAACGTAAATTTGGTCTTTTCACATAGTCCCACATTTCTTGGAGACTTTGCTCATTCCTTTTTATCATTTTTTCTCTAATCTTTTCTTCACATTTTATTTCATTAAGTTGGACTTTGACCTCTGATATCCCTTCTTCTGCTTGAACAATTCGAGTGTTTAAACCTGTGCATACTTCTCAGAGTTCCTGTATTGTATTCTTCAGTTCCATTAATTCACTCATACTCCTCTCTAAGTTGTCTATTCTCAATAGGATTTCATCAGACCTCTTTTCAAATTCCTAGTTTCTTTACTTTGGGCTACAACATGTTCTTTTAACTCACCGAAGTTTGTTATTATCCATTCCTTGAAGAGTGATTCTGTCATCAGGAGGCGCTTGTTCTCCATCAAGCCTTGTTCCATTGTTGATGTGGAACTGTGATCATCTTTTTTTTTTTTTCAAGGGCAATTCACATTTATTTCCTGATCATGCTGACTAAACATACTTCAAACACAGCAGAAGGTCAAGAGTCTGTTTTGAAGGTAAAGCCATTTCTTGCCAACAGTGAACGGTGGTCCACGAAGAGTAACTTAAGCATCATCTTCAAGCTGAGGCTCCAGCTCTGGGCAAACAGCTGCTTGGTGGACCTGGTCCTTCTGGCCTGGATGGGGGCCTCTAAGGAACTACTTGTCCTCATACTTGTGCTTGATGTGTTTCCACAGCTTCCCCTCGTTGATGTGGTCGTAGATGGCGTTCGCGCCTTGATCGAAGGCACGCTTGAAGAACAGGACGCCCATGACGATAGTGAGGGTGAAGGTGGAAGTACTGCGGAACAGCAGGGAGTACATTTTCCCAGTCAATGTCTGGGCCGCCATGTTTCTTCACAGTCTATCTCGCGCCACTCTGTGATCATCTTTAGAGGGAGAGACGTTCTGACTTTGAATATTCTCAACTTTTTTACGCTGGTTTCTTCCTGTCATTGTAAATTTATCCTCTGTCGTCTTTGAAATTACCAACTTTCAGATTAGGTCTCTTGAGTGGACGTCCAGGTTGTTAGTTCCCAGGGTCAGAGCAGTGGCATTAAAACTGATGGTGCTTTTCTGCCCAGGATTCTCCTGTCCGGCTTCCTTCTTGTTTCCGTAGTAGGCGACTCTGCCATCCCAGGGCTCCAAACCTCGGTCAGAAGGGGAACCGGTCCCGTTTACTCTGCGCCGAGCGCTGCTGCACAGAGGTGCCGGCGGAACCGCTGCACCGACCACGAGAGTCGCACTGGCGACTCGTGTGTTTCCACCACTGGGGGATCTTCTGCTCTGTGATCGACCAGACTTTGTCTGAAAGTGTGGCGTCCTCTAGTTCTCCATGCCTTCCCTGAGAGCTGCAATCCCGGGATGTTAGCGATCGGCCATCTTGGATCGCTCCTTCAGAATTTTTAATTTATTTTAAAAATCACAATTGAGAACAAATCATGTGACAAATGTTAGACATTCAAAGTAAAACGTAATCTTTCTCCTTGTGCTGGATAGTATCCCAGTCTTTGGACAAGTGGTTCTCAAACTTTGGCATGCCTTAGGACCATCTGAGAGCTTGTCAGAAACTCCACTTTCTGATTTGGTGGATCATGGGTGATACTACAGAATTTACATCTCTACAAATTTACAGGAGGTGCCAAAGCTGCTAATTCAGAGACGACACTTTGAGGACCATGGTCCTAGATAACTAGTCCAGAATTGGTTCAGGTGAAGTCACTTCATTGTCTGAATCTTACTTTTCTGTTATGTGAAAGGTAATCGCTGGACAAAGTAATAACTCACCCAGCTCTAATATTGTACATTGACTTGTGTAACACATTTTTAATGAATAAACAAAATCTAGAGATCCTGGAAGTATTAACATTTCTTTCAATACTTTCAACAAGAATGGGAAATGAGTTATTTTCATATCTTGGGTTGTGGATTGATTTCCCCAAGAAATCTTTTAGGAAATCTAGATTATGTTTCAAGGCCAATGTGCAGTCATCTCAACCTTGATTTGAAATAGGATGTTTTGTTAACAGGCATGGGTGACTTTGTTAAGTGGCAGTTGTTTTCAAAGAATTCTAATGTGGATAAAATCTGTTTTATTTTTTGCATTTGTCTAGGCTGAATCTGGAACAAGTAATTCACAGACTGTGAGCTCTGGGCCATAATTTGAACAGCATCACCTAGAAAGTAGTTCTTAGAAATATTTGCAATGGAGAAACAGGGAACAGAGATAATTTATGATAAATTGTCTGATAAGTGTTTAGTGTCGTTTTTTTGGTATAATGAGCCTAATTTTTGCCCAGGAGGCATGAGGTCTGGGGAGATGGGACCATATCATCTTCAGTAGGTAACCCAGACCTTTACCTGAGAAGTGGAGCAGAGAAGGAAATAGCAGGTGTTGCATGGCTGCACTTCATTTCTTTATCATGTTCATGTGTTGTTTTTATCTGAGAATTTGGCCAAAAATGAAAGGAAACCAAAGGATACGCTGCCCGTAGGCCAATCTGTTTAGTTTCCCAGAGGACAATAGGACTTGGCAGGGCCTCCCAGCCTGAGTCTCTCATTGAGGACATAATCAAAGGCAATTAAATTTACACAGTGAAGACACAGCTTCATCCTATAAAGAGTCAAGCTGGGATAGAGAAATCCTGTTAGATTCTCATTCTTTCTTCTATCTTAAAGATACAAATAATTTCTATAGAAAGCATAGTCAACATATGGGGTTGCTGTCTATATGTGAATGTTCTGCACTCTTAGAACACCACATACACCTGTAGTTGAGCACGTTGAGGTTTTTACTTGATACATTGAGAAAGAACACACACCATGGGACATCTCACTAAAGGATAGAGGGAAGGACTTACAGGATTTGGGCTTCAGTTAGATGACATTTAGTAGGGTTAAAAAATAGAGCTCTATCCTGGAGTGGATGCTGTTGGGAAGTAGTAAAGTTCAGTGATTAATAACTCAATATATTTTATCTATGTTTGAATGAGTCTGTCCTAAAGATCTGATAGGTAAAGAAGCAGCAGACACATCACTCATAACAGCCAAAGAATGAGGCTAGTTGGCCATTTTTGTTGTTAGGAAAATGTTCATAATTGTATCTATGTTCTAACTGATTTGTGAAGTTTTCATATATTTTTCATATTCTATTACATTCACACTCTGGCCATGTGTATTGTTGGTATACTGTGAAACTGTTTGTGCTCAGCAGGAAAATACCAAATCCTAGATAGCAGTACCAGGCTGGCTCCTGAATGCCAGCAATGGCTTTATTCTTTCTTATATCTAAAACACTATCTGTGCTTACTATAAGGTAATATATGTCTACAATTAATTCCATATTCCCAAAGTTTATATCCAAAATAAAAAGCATACTATATTGTGCAAAGGAGACTTTTTTCTTCTTGTTCTTCAATGCAAAAATATAGTTTCACAAGTTAAAAAGCCCTCAGAAATCATCTAGTAATCTAATCCTATGTTGGTGAGAACTCTCCAGAGAAACAAAACCAATAGGACCTGTGTGTGTGTGTGTGTGTGTGTGTGTAAGTGTTTGATTTATTGAACTTTTCTTTTTGTAAGAAATTTGTTCTCACAATTATGGAGTCTGAAAAACATCAAGGTTTATAGTTAGCAAGCAGGAAGCTTAAGAGAACTAAAGCTGTAAGTTTTACTCTGAGTCTTAAGGCTCTGAGAACCTGGAGAGACAATGGTATAAATTTTAGTCTGAAAGCTGGCAGGCTGAAGACCTAAGAAGCATCCATGTTTTAGTTCAAGTCTCAAGGCCCAAAATGACCTAAGTTTTAGCTCACCCAGTCAGGCAGAAAGAGGTCTCCTCTTATTCAGATTTGTTGTTCTATTCAGGTCTTCAATAGATTGAATGAGGCACACCATATCGTGGGAGCCAACCTGCTTCACGCAGATGCAAATATTAATCTCATTCAGAAACACCCTCACAGACACACCTAGAAGAATCTTTGGCCAAATGGTTGGACATCTATGATGCAGTTAAGCTGATATATAAAATTGACCATCAAAGGCCAGGTATGGCGTCTAATGCCTATAATCTGAACACTTTGGGAAGTCAAGGTAGGAGGGTTGCTTGAGGCTAGGAGTTAGAGATTAGCCTGGACAACATAGCAAGACCCCATCTCTATAAAAAACATAAACAATTAGCTGGCTGTGGTGGCACATACCTGTAGTCCTAGCTACTTGGGAAGATGAGGCAGAAAGATTGTTGGAGCACAGGAGTTCAAGGTTGCAACTTGAACTGTGATCACACTGCTACACTACAACCTGTGCAACAGAGTAAGACCCTGACTCTAAAATAAAATAAAAGTTTAAAAAAGAACTATCACAAAGCCCAGTTGGGAAACAATAAAAGTAGTAGTTTAGAAATCAGGGCTCCAAGTAAGGTTTTCTGGATCCTTAGAGAGTAATCATCTCACTATGGCACTGTTGTTACTGGCAGAAAGATTACAGGGAAACTTGATCTGCTTAGAACCAAAGTTTAACACTTCATTCCGAATTAAGAAATGTTGACAAAAAAGAATCAAAGTTTGTAAAATATTTGAAGAGATTTACTCTGAGCCAAATATTTGGACCATGACCTGTGACACAGCCCCCAGAGGTCCTAAGAACATGTGACCAAGGTGGTTGGGCCATGGGTTGGTTTTAGACATTTTAGGGAGATATAGGACATCAATCAATACATGTAAGATATACATTGACTCTATCTGAAAGGCAAGGCAACTCAAAGTGGTGGTGAGGGTGGGGCAGAGGGCATCCAGGTCATAGGGGGATTTAGGATTTTTTGGTTGGTAATTGGTTGAAATTGTGAGCTTATTATCTAAGGACCTGGAATCAGTAGAAAGGAGTGTGTGGGTTAAGATAGAAGGTTGTGGAGACTGAGGTTTTTATCACACATATGGAGCCTCCAGTTAGCAGGCTTCAGAGAGAATAGATTGTAAATGTTTCTTATCAGAAACAATGGTACAGGATGTCTACTGCAGCCAGGGCTTGGGTATTTCCCCTCTCCCATGTGGAAGGGTATGGCTGGCTGAAGTTGGGTATTTGCCTTTCTTCAGGTCAGTTAGGCTCTGATAAAGCACCAGAGGAATAGGCTGTGTTTGACTAGTTTCTCCAGAGGGCAGACATTATTAAGAAGAACAGGACACTCTGGCGTATTTCAAAATGGGTCCTTCTTTCCTCCGGCTGCTGGAAACACAAGGGAATTTCTCTCCACTATTCACTATGATGTCTAGGTAGTAAGGCTTACAAAAGCATGGGGTCCCCCTAGGACTGGGCTCCCCTGGAGTTTTTGTCTCTCAGACTTGCTCCCACTGAGCCTTCAGCAATTCAGCAATTACAGCAATTCATCAATTACAGTTCAGTTTTCTCTGCGTCAGCGGTGGTTCCCCAGGGTGTTTCTGCCTGTGGGTTTCTGCTCTGGTTAAGTTGTGATTTTCTGTATCCCCTTGTGTGTCTCTCCAATTCTGGGGTTTAGCAGTTCGCCTTGTGACCTCACTTCACTGCTGGATCTAAGACGAGCTGCTGATTTTTCAGTTTGCTTAACTTTTTACTTGTTAGGTTGAAATGACAGCTTCTAAGCCTGTTACCTGCCAGACCAGAAACCAGATGTTGTTTTGTCATATTTAATTGTGTTCCATAAATTGTGTATTTGAAATGTTATTTGTAAAAAAAAGTAATGGTAAAACTAGGATAATGCTATATTTGTTTCAAAGACCATTTGATTTTCTTTTGCTGGTACTTGTACAAAATTGCAATGTTGTTACTGCAGTCCACTTTCAGTAAATGAGATGATTAAAAGTTGAAGATTTTCCTTTATGGTTCCAACACGAAGAGTGGGAGGTT